CTATAGTAAAGATAAGATTCGCGGTATGTCTCACAGAGTCATTTTTTGGATTGTGTCGACCCCTTCCAAAGATGCTAATGCAAATTATGAAGACTTCGCACCCAACGCCGCGCACGGAGGTCTCCCGTTCTGTAACGGATGCGGAGATTTCGCCGTGGTCGCGCTGTGCTACGATCATGGCCAAATCTTCGGGGGTATCTTCCTGGATCAGCTGATCAGTGAGCGCTCCTGGGCCATAAACGTCCATGGCCCAGGAGCGCTCACTGATCAGGAATCCAGTTTCATCCGCATGTCTAACCTGAAATGCTCTTGCTTCAGCAACTTCGGCGTATGGTGTCCGCAATGACGAAACAGCAATTCGAACGGAAATCTTCAATAGAGGCCCAGTACAAGCGTCGTTCGTAGTCTATGAAGACTTTGCCCACTACAAGAGTGGGATCTACGTGGTGAGTGCGGGCTTTTATCGCTGGGTTTAGGCTAGGTTGCATTGACCCCAACGCGTTGGTGTAGACTTGGCCACTGCCAATCATTGGTTACGAAGTGGCAACGTTTATGGGACACTGCCATCGCTTTTGCGCCCCGCTGTCTTCGCCGAGCAAAGAAATAGTGCACTGAAATATAAACTTCACCTCTTGTTGGAGCCAAAACAAAATGGAGCAAAATACGACGGGCTAGTTTTCGTTGTAATTATATTCTTTCCAAGAAGGATGAAATCTCGCTGGAAATTTAGAGCGAGCCATGTGAACTCAAATCTCAGTGACATCCTTTCTGAAGCGTGTCGTATGGAGGGGGCAATTACCGGCAAAACGATGCTTGATCCTGGGCTTGCCCTTGGGTGTAAGGGTCGCATGTGTAACGGTACTGGGCATATTAGTGAAGGTGTCCTGCTCAGCTGCTATGCACTACGATGTAATCTTTGGGAAAAAGGCATGATGTTTCTTCGTTGTACTTTCCTGAAGAAAAATTTAGGCTGACTGTCCAGTTTTTACAGTAAAGATTATTCTTTTCTATTTTCCAGAACACAGGCGGCAAAAAGCAAGGGCGGACACGCTGTGAAAATCATTGGATGGGGAGTAGAAAATGGCACAAAGTACTGGACGATTGCCAACTCGTGGAATACCGACTGGGGAGAAGACAACGGTATGTGACCTGAAAATTATTGAGGAATCCGCAAAATTCTAGATCATATCGATCTTTTCGCACAAAAAATGGTCCGTTAGAGTTTCTGCCCCTGATTTCTCCTTATGCTCTGAATAGGCCCGAACATTAAAGTCCACGGTTGCATGGGAGCAGTCGTTACACTGCTTGGTTGTTATCCTGTTCTGCATCGGTCCATAGGCAAGGACGCGTTGCGTCTGCACGCGTCGCAGAGTTGCACGAGTTTCGCGAAAAGGGGCAGCAAGGGCAACTCCTTCAGGTATGTCGAGAAGTGTGCACCTGGCTGCTGCTATCCGAGGGTAACCAGAGATTGCTTCAGAAGGCTGTTAGGCTGCAGTTAGTCTAGATGGTTTAAAGATGTCTTGTTATTTCATGGCGGTGTTTTCCTACATGCGGGCAGGAGATCCAACATCGCAAACAGCGTAACGCAAAGGAGTCCCTATTTTAAGGTCAAGGTCCCTGCTCGACCGGCTTTTGAGAGGTTCGAGTGGTTTTACTATGCTCTCGATGACCGCTACTACTCACAACTCCCACAGTCTCGCCAAAGCTCTTCATTTACGGAGAGGATAATCTCCGGTAAATGAAGAGCTTTAGTACGAGGGTATAGAAGTAACGGTAAGATCTGCTCAGGCCTGGACATGACATAAAAGCCGGCCGCAGAGTTCGTCGCATGTTAGCCAAAGCGCCGATTCACGGTTTGTATTTCTCACAATTTTGAAGGCGAAGCTGAGTATCTTATCCTTCTGAGAATATTTTCTTAAGGTTATTTCCGTATGATACGTGGAGTGAACAATTGTGGCATCGAGTCAGAAATTGTCGCCGGGGATTTTCGTGCGTGACCTATCCGATCGATCATCATGAACCATACATATGTGGAATAAATCGTTCTCAATGGTTTGGTTTGGACGACATCGCCAAATTTTATGCCAAACCTACAAAATGTGTTAATTTAGCGCCTTTAATGTGAAAATGCTGTGCAGGCGTGTTCCATCGTCCACACAAGGTCCTTCGAGCAGACAGCGGTCAGTACTTCTCAATACACCGGTCCCCATCCCAGCGCATGGGATATTGGCGCAATAAAGTTATCGAATCTGGTTATTCTAGTACTTAAGGGTCCTTACATATGGATCGGATTGTGAGCCACTCCAATTAGTGTAATCCATTTTCGCATTTTCAGTGTAAATATTTGACTTTATTCTTGTAAAATCACCGAGGATTTCCTTTGAGACGCATATCTTTCTCGCTGGGGCTTCAACCAACATTCTACAGGACGTTGAAGAGTTACTAGGACATTCTCCAATCCCCAACAAGAAATGGCTCTTGGCTAAGAGGAATATAAGGCTTACCTGCTCGATCCAATCGTGCTCCCGATTCCTGCGGTCTACCTCGGGCCGGATTTTTCTGAATCATAGGAAACACGGGTCAGATATATGCAGGGTACACAATCGTTGAGAGTTTTTCAACCTGGGATCGTATTCAAGCATTCAAAGAGACAGAAGTTATACGTGACCAGTAAGGAGTTCCTTCCCTCTCTCCTGGGACGGTGATATTTTAGGCTTTGCCATGTCTGGCAGCTGATCGGGTGTCTGTCCTCTCTCATTGTGCTCGCTGTCCTGATGTGCTGTTTTTCCGTTGGTTACAGTGGGCTTACCAGCACTTCTTCTCGTCAGAGTATGGCAGTCCTTCTTGCTAATGTGGCTAGAACATTCCCCTAGCTGTAATGACATTGCCAACAGCCATAGTGGGTTTTGAAAAGGTGCAGAAATCGCTGCTAAGAAAGAGTCCAAAGAGCTCTTTCTCAATGTCTATGGCGAATAAAAATCAAAGCTTTACTGAATTACTACTATGTTTCAAGGCATTCGCCATCGTTTGATGCCAGTTGCTTTCGGAAGGTTAGGCTTTTTTGCCGTCGCCGACGTGCCCAGTAGACATCCATTGTTCTACGTTGCACTCGTTGACTCCACGAATCATGCGGAAAAGACCTAAAAAGTCGTTTGAGGTGATTCGAACTCGCGTTCTCTTTCTGTTCTGAAAATAACGCTCGAGGTGGACGAGAAAATGGCTAATAAGCGGAAACAAACACTCTAAGCTTGTAGTGTGCTTATGAAGTACTCGTAATGTGAAGAGTTCTCGTTTCCAAGGTCAACAGAAACCCACCTTTGTGCTGCTTCCGCTTGCGCAGCTTCCCCTACTTCCCTCATTCCCATAGCGTTCAGAAAAAATTGCTCACCTTTCTCTCCCCAGGTGTTGCCCCACGAGTTAACCATGAGCCAATAGGGCGTGTCACCTTCTTTTCCCCATCCAATTACTTTCACGGCCTGGTTGCCCACAAAACCGCCACCAGTGTACTAAAAAAGCTTTCTATAAATATTCTCTATTTTTTGTCTATTCTGCATGAATTCACGCTCTAGTCTAGTTCGATTTATCTAGACTAAGGTCTCACCACTGAGGTGTTCTGCATAGTACTGAGCCATAGTTCAAGGAAGCAACGTCGACGAAGCGTCACCATCCTCCCTCGCCAACAGCGTTAGCATCTCTACTTGTTTACTACTTGGCACTCGATAGAACTCTCTACTTGCTTACTACTTGGCACTCGATAGAACTTTCTATTTCTCACAAGATTTTGTAGCTCTTTCTAGACATGGGCAGATGTACTATTGACCCCCCCCCTGGCATTCTCGCGGTGGAACGGAAGCAAGTCACGGCAGCTATGAACTGATGGCCCTACTAACTTCTTCCTCGGTCACATGTGACACCAATTGAATGAACGCAGAGAAAAGGCTTGATAAAGCGAATTCGCAGCCCCTGAACTATGGTGCCCCCTCCGCCTCATCAGATGGAAAGCGATAAAAATCGAGCTCTATGAGTGTTAGAATGAGCGGAGTGACCCCCTGAGCTCCATATCGACCTACGAAGAGCAAGATGGTGAATGGCTACGGCTATAGTGGTAGGACCTTGACATCAAAGATCGTGCGCTGCAAGAGGTGACAGTTCAAGGAGTAAGGAGCGTCACTTGGTGAGCAGTTACTGTTTCTGATCTGGTTTTCACTTCTGAATCAAATTCGTCACGGAATCAATGTATTTAATTCTACAACAGTCAGATGGAGCGAAGCCAGGGCAAACTGCATGTTCACCATTAGTTCAAGATCTCACCTTATAGATTCCTCCGGCGTAGTAGGAGAAGTCCTGGTAAGCGTTGAAAATGGCGACCACCGGTCCATTCTTCATGATTTCTCTCTGAATAGCACTCTGGGATGCTGGTAGTTTGAAGGCGTCTATTCCTGCAAATCTTTTTTGTTCAACAGAAATCAGATGTGCTCGTCCACGAAGCTGAGCAACGGAACGGGATTGAACTACCCAGAAGATCACAAAGCTCAAAATGACTACGTGATGATTTACAACTGGCTCTTTCATTGTACGACTGATGAGCTAGTTTGAATGGGATGACGCTAATATCGAGCAAGTGGCGCGCTTACCACTCGCGCGGTGCCGGCTTCAAATCCCGGGTCAACTCTCGCCTAGGCCAACCAAGCCTTCTTTCCTCCGGGGACGGTAATATGTATGTGCTCCCAGACCATATTACCCAGAATTTGTTGGAGGATAAAACACTAACTTTTACATGTAGCCACCGCAAGGTCATTGTACAGGGCACCATCGCATCAATAAGCCACTGCGATTCTGAATTCAAGTGTTATGCGTGCCGCATCCCACAAAGGGGTTGATCAACGGCAGAGACTTTATCCTTTACTTTTTTTATCGAATTCAATGACGTGTTAATGGGCTGACCATCGTATTTTTATCATCAGCTCGTTCCCTACTTGCTGCGCTTCTGCGTTGCTCGTGTCTGTGGGTCCACAGGAGTTTCTTCAATGGATAAGCTCTTTCATTATTAACGAGCCTAATCGTACGACTGAGTATCACGCTGGACCCGCTCACTTTAAGGAATGTCCGCGCTTAACACCGCCCCCCGCCCCTCCCTCGAGGTCAAATATCGACCCCTCCCCTGTTGTGGATGCATCACAACGAATGGCGTGCCCTTTAGAGTCCTCCCGGTGTCCCCCCCCCCCCCGTTCGCAACCAGTTCGTCGCAACCACCAATCCGTCTCGCCCTCATCCCAGCATGGCTGCGCCTTCGACTTGCAAAACTAACGCTTAATCAACCATAGATATTTCATTAAATTACGAAGCGGATTCCTCTATCTATCGATCGTATTTAGAATGAATTCTTCGGAACCAGTACAGCTGACTATGTGCCCACCGTAATATTTGTCCTCGTCATAACATTTTCCGAAACCTAGTTGGCAGGCCTGTCGGCATGGCGGAGTACTCGAGAGGATTGAAGTCTTGTAGGAATTGTTACTGAGCTGAGAGATATCTGGTTCTATCTCGTATGGACGACAACCATACTGCAGAAAAATGGATCGGGAAGTACGCAGAAAACATTATCAGGAACTTATCATAGCCCTACCATACTACCATAATCTCCTCCCGTGACAACACCATCGCTTACAAAGTACTTGAAAGCGTCATAAATAGAACCTCCATCACACCTAAACATCAGAACATGAAATAATATCTTGAAATGAAGTCTCTTGAACTCTTTGAAGATGTTCATCACAAGGTTGTACGCCATATGCATGAAGCTTCAGTCACAGAAAGACTTCAAAAATTTTGTAAAATCTTAATAAGAGGGACAGTTGACGTTGACGACATGATGGGAAACACCCCTCTCGGAACAATAAGGTCAGGATTCGAACTAGGTGGAGCTCAAACGTTTGTCTGTGAGGAGCGCATTTAGAGCTCAGAACACGGCCCTTGGGATGCGTGTGTGCGTAACTAGTTCCCTGCCCCAAATGAGCGTTCAGAGCTGTAGCCTTTTCGCTGGCTTCCGACCGTTTCCTTTGGATCTTATTAGCGCTCACTGCCCATTTGGGAATGACAGAGGGGTAATGCTATACCGCCTAGCCAAGGTATTGCTATCTTTAGGTCCTCAAGCACGAAATCTCACCCACTACCGAAGCCGAGACTACAACTTGTGCAGCATGTCATGATGTCGTCTGCGGAGAGAGTTACCTGAAAATTTGTTGATAAAATTTAAAGCCGCATGATCTTTTACTAGCTTGAATTGCACTACCTTCACGGTTCCATTGGTAGCTATGCAAAGGCGATCCGACATCACAGCAGCCGCCGAGATGGCCCAGCTCGATTCTGAGGATGTTCCTCATTATTTCCCACTTCACGTAGATTATTGGAGGCTTACATTATCCTGGCCATCACTCTGTACGCTAGTCAATCTATCTAAGTAATAGCAGCTATCACTACTAAGTGAGGTGGTCGAAAAGAGGTTTCG